AGTTACGGCGATCGACTAGAATTTTTCCATGAGAGTTCTCACGAGTCTTGACACCTCGCGGAGGTGGGCAACCTGGCAGGTTGCAGCCTGGGGTTCTGAGGTACCCCAGCGTGGCCGTTGCGGCAGCGACTGGGGGAACCCGCGCACCCGCGGTGTGGGAGGAGGTGAGTGCGCGGCCGTTGGGGGGTGGCGGATGGATGGTCGAGAAAGCAGAGGGCGGGGGGGATTTTGAAAGAGGGTCGGTGGTCGAGGTGGTAGTGGTAAAGGTAGACGGAGGAGAGGAAGAGGAGGAGATGGAGGAGAAGAAGGAGGAGGAGAAGGCACAGTCTCGTGGAGGAAAAGGTGGCAAGGGGTAGAGAGAGCGAGAGTAGAGATGAGGAGAAGGAGGAGACGGTGGGCCCTGGGGGTGGGTTGCCTAGCTACCGGCGAGACCCGGCCAAGATACTCCGAGATCTCTCTCGACTGCTTCAGGTCAGACTCTCGCATATTTCTCTGGCGCGTTTGACCAGGTTCTTCGGAGTCGGAGAATCGAACGCCGAGAAATGGCTAACCGACCAACTTGACGATGACCCGATGCCCGGATGCTCATGATTCACACGAAAACTCGACGGATCTAATAGTCTTCAGTGTCGCATTCTTGCAGTCAAACTTAATATGTGTACTATTAAAATATATTTATACTTAGAAAATAAGTGTAAAGAAACATTTTTTGTATTTTCCTTTCGAGAAACAATATTAGTGTTGCGTTTTTCTTAGTTACTTAACAAATGGCAGATATCTCAAAATATTTTCTTGGACTATAAATGTCTTCTCGTAAACATGTTCCTTTCTAGTATATTTATTCAGACGTCAATGGCGAGAAATAAAAAGATAAAAAAATTATTCGCGGTGGAACAAAATAGTTGGAAACTTTGTTTTGCAATCTCTTTTAAAGAAGTTAATTTGAGATCATCAATGCTCGTTATAGGAGAAAAAGTTCTCGCTGCAACTCGCCACGAATTAAACTTGGCAAACTCATTATTAATTACAAAAAAACTGAAATTCAAATTTGTGGAAATACCAAGTATGCACAATGAGATTAAGATAAACTCATTGTTTTATCAATCTTTTTTCCTAAGGCGATACCGGTGTCGCCCTCGTACGAGGAAGATGGTAAAGACTTTTAAGAAGACTCACCCTCCTCCTTCTCTCAACCTTCTTTAGCTTTAAGAAAACGTCACCCTCGTGGTAAGGCAGCTCGCCAAAGGGTCGGTAAGAAACGAGTTTTAAAGAATGCAAAAAGTAATTGCCACTAAAAATTATAATTCAGTAGCAAATTCATTAATTCAACATCTTTTAAAGGCCAATGATTTTTCAGAGATTTATAAATATTTTTTCTCACAGAAACTTGGTTTCCTTGATTCAGAAAAATATTTAAAGATAAAGACAGTACAAAGACCATCATTTCGAAGAATCGACTTTTCCAACTTGTATATTTGCTGCTGAATCGACGTAAGATTAGCGGACGAATAGCTATTAAACCTGGAGCAAAACGAGTCGGTAAGAAAGAAAGAATAAGGATACTTTCTTTAAGAAGTTGCACCGCCGGCAAGCGTCTTTTAAGAAGCCAGCAGTACGCTTAGTCACCACTAAGAAAGATGGCGCCTTCTATAAAGAATTTCATTAATAAAATGCATTTTTATATTTTATTCGAGGTGTCTCCCTTTTCTACTACTATAAAGTATAGAAAAATAGTATGTATCTCTCCTGGTTACAAATGATTAACAACATTATTTATATTTCAGCGCTGAATATTTTGTACCCTTGATAAATTGTGGCAGGTCTAATTTCACTTCACAATCCGAATACGCAAAAAATCCCAGGATCTCCGTAAGGTAAAGCTTTTTTCCCCGACGTTCCCTCTTTTCTCATTCCTTTCGGCGTGTCGGCATTTTCGCCACGCTGCACGAAGAACAAAGGACGGCTTCACGGTCGGTTAATTTAATCTAAGCAAACATCATACAGATGGTACAGCAATGCGTTTCAGGGGGTGTCAGGGAGATCGGGAAGGATGGAATATCTCTGGTACTGCAAGCGAACGAAGACGGGGATCCGCGGGCCATGGATCTAGATACATACGTAAGTACAAGAGTATTCAAGACGGTGCCGTGAAGCGATGTTTAGCATGTAGATGAAGATCTTGGTAATCAAGGGCTGGTGGCCCCGCGGGCACACTTCGTCAAGTCTCTCTCTTATTTCCAGGCATCGTCATGCAATGCACGAATCGGCGTGGAATTTAATACGATGCTGTCTACTAAAAGTTTAATGCGATCTTAAAGTATAAAAAATTATGCTGACATACGTTGATAAAATAAAAACCTCAACAAATTTTAGACGTTAAGTCGCAGTGGTTTTGTTAATAAATTCAGCAATAATATCAGCAATAAAGAAACTCGATGTTTAATTTAAAAAATATACATAATAATAACCTTTCTTCTATTGAAACACTAATGCCTGACCTCAATAGTAAAACAGAGAAAATCATGCGATTAATCTATTTGAACAACTGTGGTAAATATAAAATACAATCAAAAGGATTAATATGTTGGATCAATTAGTTGCCATTGGCCTGATTATTAGCTGCAAATCGGACAACTCGTAACAAGTAACGTAAACGTGGTTCACTACGATATTCATACGACACCCTTCCACGGAGACGTCTCGAATCGGAGTTGTATCTCGTTCGAAATGATCGGGTCTCGTCGTCCGAAAATTCACCCCGTAATCGACGGACAAAAAGTAATTTCCCATCGAGTGCGACAAAGGGTGATTTTGCATGGGGAAGGGGGAGTCGTGTCGGCGATAGCCAGGGGGTGGTAGTGACCGGTGCGTGTAACGACCATTCTCCCCTGCCGCCTCGTCACCGCGATTCCCTCGCTGCCACCTCCAAAACCACCCCCGTACCGCCGCGGCCACCGCCGACCAGAGAGAACGTTTACGGGGAACGCCACGTGCGCTCTATGCGTAGAAAAGATGTGGGAGGTATGCGTATGTGTGTACAACGCGTTTAGTTCTGGTATGTGGGGTTCTGGGGCATTTTTTGTTCGTGCTCTTTCATCTCCGATTTCTTACAAAAGAAAATCAGTGGATGCTATGACAATTGTCTCATTAGTGTAATAACTAAATAAATAGCACGTTGATTGAATAATTGATTCGATTATGCAAAGTATGGACGTCAAGCGACATAATGTATTTTCAAAAGATTATATCACGATTTATGCCATTTTGTACAGATGCTATCATTTGCATTAATAGTATAATTACGAAAATTGAAATTATTGATATCACTATCAACAATATTACTGTAAATTAATTTCAAGTTGATTTGACTTGACAAAAATTTCTTACAAATTGTCGCGTACCGTGCACAATTTATTGCACATTCGAGCTATTCTTTTATAGTCTCTTCAGATTTAACTTCTTCTTTCATCTAGAAAAGTTAGGTCGACCACATCATAAATTGCATTTACAGCGCGTAATTATTATTCTTCATTACTGAGGAAGTACGCGGAGTTGCAAGCGCAAGTTGTGACAAAAAAATTTCAATATTCGAGATTCTCCTTTCTTCTCCCTTCGTTTCTCTTTGTACAACGAACGATATATTCTGTTGCCGCAAGGATGTCCGTGAGATAAAAGACAAAAAGCAAGATACGAAAGAATCGCACGGAAAAAGATGAGCACCAAGCAACGCCGACAGAATCGTGGATTTAGCATGGAATCGGCAGCGTGGCGTGGCTGCGGGACGATAAATCGGTATGGCCAACTGCTCGAGTCAACGAGCCGTGTCCAGTTTGCTGCCCCTCACCAGAGAGTGGCTCGGTGGACGCGCGAGTACTCGCGCGGGGAGGAAAAGGGACAGGGAAACGAAGAGTCGCCGCGGGAAGCGGAAGGGTGAGAGGGACTATCCCGACATTCACCACACGCTATTCTTCATACTCCATTATCCGTGCTCTACTCCACTCTACTCCATTATGCCGGCACCGCGTATAAACGACGAGTCGTACCCGCCCCCGACCCCGGCACGAACCGCCATATGTCCATCAGGTTACTCGTCGTCCTCGCTGTGTCCAACAGCGATAAACACTAGCCCGAGCGCGGTGGCTCGGTTATCGAATGAGAAAAGTACGTTGCTTTATGCAGACCGCTTCGTAATCCGCATCAAACTTCGCCAGAGTGTATCCTTTGACCAATTTCAAGTCAACTTTTCGTTTGCGAAATTCAGACGTAATTAATGTCGAATGTTGTTTGATGCTAATTATTAAGAGTTTTCGCGAGATAAAATTGCTCCACGGAAATTCTAATTCGCGTGACAAACAGCGAATACACCATTGTTCTTCTTATTATCAGTATATCTGCGTTAGTAAAGTTGTAACGACACACGGTCCAAATTAACAAAATTGATATTCGAGAACGGATGGCGTGCCACACCTTAAAAAATACGTCGCTGTAATACCGAAATACATCACATTTACAGTCATAAACTTAACTTGGTGTACTAAATATGAAACACGCCTTCATCATATACGTACATATGACTTGGCTGGAGCTACGAGGCAGACGTAAATTCCCCTCCCGAGACCAGGTTTAATTAAATCTTTTGCAAATTTGCATATACGCACTTCCGTCAGTGAGAATCCTTTAGAACCCTTGGCGTTACCGAGACCCCTGTAGAGATTCGTTTCCCTACCTACCTGTTATGTAGATCTGCCACTAGTCCTCCGAGATGATGATGATAATCTGAGCGAAGACGACTTGAAGAGGAAGGATACCGTCCAAAAAATAAGACACTAAAAAGAAAAAGAAAAATTGAAGTGTAAATATTATGGCAGAAAAATTAAAAGTTTTAAAAAGTAACAACCTACATAAAATTGGCGTAAAGAGGGTGTTTTCTAGATTAAATGGCTTGCGGAAATTGTAGAATAATAAATGGAGGACGGTGGACACACAGCGTAGGAGATTAAAGAGAAAAGTCATACCTGGCTTATATTTTGAAATACATTTTTACTTCGACTCGGTCAAAAACTACGATAACAATAGGTTGGTAGATATGTGTATCGGAAATCATTTTCGGAAACGCAGAGTGCCCGTCGCCGGTTTACAAAAACGGACAAGCTTCTTGCCGGCGCGGCGCGGTGCTTCTCGCGAAACTATCTCGCGAGAGTTGTTCCTCGAGCTTTCGTTTCATTGGCAGAAATTTCGATGTAAGATCTTCGATGCCGGCACGTTCGTTCATTCGTTCGTTGAATACTTGCGAGCATTTCGCTGCTCGCGCGCTCTCCGCGGCGACATTTTCGTGCGACAGGAAGCTTTTTCACTTTACGCCAATTGAATCCCATTCGATTTTATCGTTGGCTTCATCCGAACGTGACCGCACGCGATAGCCTTTCGCGAATCAGTCGAGTTCTCAAGATAACTCAGGGTCGCTGCAAATGTCTCGCCGAAAGCGCGTGGAGCCGGATTTCTTCAGTCCAAAAGATGGGTTTTTGAGGAAAACGCAGGTCGAAAGGAAACTGAACGCGCATCGTGGAAGATATATGTGTTTACGAAAAAAGGAAGCTAAGATCGCCGACGTCAGTCTCGACGATATTGCACGATCCCGCAGCACAGTCGTTCGCAATTATATATACTATGAAAACGTAATCGATGAAACTAAATCGCATCGCTCAAAACGGCGAATAATGATTCGATGAAACGACAATGTTCTAGCTTTATGTACACGTATATACATTCTATGAATATCATTATTGTAGTCGTCATCACACACCACTTTCACATACTCGCTCATTCGTACGTAATTTCGTTCTCACTTAATTACAAATCCCCGTCGTTCATTTGCACTCCTCTAAGATTTATTGGCGTGAGACACAACCGGTAAAACAATTTTTATGTCCCAAAGTTTTCCGGGAAAATGTTCCTCGGTAAACGGACTCGTCCCCCGAGTTTTTTCCGGATCAAGTTTTAATGCCCACTAGTGCTAATTCGCCATCGAGAATCGTCCTCGACACTCGGATGGTTCTCAAGTAATCACCACGTCACATTATAATTATCGATCTCGTCACAATAGCTGATAGCCGCGCGAGAGCGATCCGTTAAGCGTTACTTCCCTCTTGCCTTCCGTCAATTCCCCAATTTCTCGATAGTCGAATTGTTCGATAAGAAATCGCTCGATTCTGCCTTTCAGTATGGTCTCCAAACGTTGTTATCCGGTCTGACTTCCTCTTGCCTTACGCTGCAACTATCCGCGACGGCCCTCTGCTCGGCGCTCTCAGGATTCTGGAACTGATTCCCATAGAGCTGGGAGTAGAGGATGCTGGGAAGCACGCCGGGCGTTGGAAAGTAGTTGCCGTAATTCTGCCCGAAGCCCTGCTCCTCGTGCACCGGGCTCTCGGTTGTGCTAGAGTCGGTGGACAGTGATCTGGGTGACACGTAGTCCTGATATCTCTGGGTGGAGGAGCCACCGGACATGAGGCTGCTCAGCGGATCCAACGGATCGGACTGACCCGGTGTCGTGGTGTCCGGTACGACTGTGACATTCGAGGAAGGAGAAGCTATACGCTATTTCAGTTCGCCAAGGACAAACGGCTCTCGACCGATCTAACTTTTTCACTCATCTTACGAACGATTACATTTTCAACCGTGAGGCATAGCCCGCTTGCAATTTATTTTACTTTTCAAGCTTTTCACACGAGTAAGGCAAATTATATTTTTCAGTCTGTCACTCGTAAGCTTGATTTCAATCGTAAAAATATCACTTTGGTCAGTCAAAATTGAGCAAGACGCTACATGAATAAACAGACAGTTAAGCGATACCTCATAGTCGGTCACACGTGAAAATGATGGGAAAACTGGATGTACGGTGCGAGCTGAACTTACGAGAGGAAACCGCGGAAAAAGCGTCCTGCTGCGGCGTGGCGCCGGTATTACCGGTGCCGGATGTGACAGTCGAACCCGCCGTCGAGTCCGGTGCCGTCGGCGTAGCCATGGAAGCCGTGCCGGCGAAAGACGCCAACGTGGACGACGGCGGTGGTGGCGGAGGGGGTGGCGGCGGAGGTGGAAAAGAGGCCTGTGCGGCGCACGACGAAAGGGGACCCGGGAGGTAGCCGGCGTAGCCGGCCGTGCTACCGTATCCCCAAGAATTGCTCGCTGTCAGGCCAAACTGGGACATATCTAAAGAAACTATCTATTGCACGTCTTGTCAAGACTACGAAGAGTCGATAATCGACGCAAAAGCGAAGTGAGTCTTCGTAAAAATTAAATTGCGGAAGCATTAACGTCGAGGTGCTTATTGCGAAAAATCAATGGACGACGAGACAAGCAGCACAAATAAACACGTACATACGTACAAGAAAAGCGTGCTAATATAAAAACATCGATAGCAATGCCTGATGTTTCCGGTGGTCACATCGGTGGAAAAAGATAAATAATAATCGCAACGATCGAATAAAACAACAGAAGGCTGAAACGGCCACGGCAAAAGGCAAATTTTTGCCGGATTATATGCCAATTCGAATCACTTGGCGAGATGCATCGGCGGCAGCGACGGCGACGGCGACGGCGACGGCGGCGGCGGTGGCGGTGGCGGCGGCAGCGGCGGTTCTGTGCGCCCCTTGGCGGATGTATTTTTGCGGGGTATAGGCAGCATCCCCGATAGATTTTCCAATGAGTCACGGGGGTTGAATGCAGAAAGGACTAGCACGAACGTTCGCGAGAGGGACACGGGCGGACACGGCGGAGAGTGAGGGGAACGGAAGAGTACATCGAGATCAAAGGGTTGGTCATCCCCCGCGTAGCTGGGGCCAACTCAAATAACCGAGCCCGCCTCGGCGAGCGCCACCGGACCGTCGTCACGAGAGCTAACCCTAAATACTGCTATCCGCCCGGTGCTTTCACATCCTTCGGCATTACCGGATTCCTTGCGGTCCGAAGAGGAGCTTCCCTTTTTATGGAAAATCACTCAAAGTTGCGCACCAAGTATTCGCGGAGATTCGCTGCGGCATGGATCGCCTCGAATCCAATTCGCCGCTTATAGAAAAGTTTATCAGGCCGCTTTGCCATACTATTTCAACAAAAGTCTTATTTTAGTTATATTAATTATGTCGTATTACATTCCAAGTTTGGACAATTTTATTAGCGAAAAGTAATCCCGTGTACGAAAGTGTCCCTCGAAATCGAATCCGCCAGGCGTATAGCGTGAGAATAATATGGCCGCGTACGCATATTATATCGGACGACCAGATGCCCGATGAGGGAAAAAAGTTAATAAAGGAAATATTCGGCGTGCTTCGTATTTTATCGGGAAATTTGCTAGTAACGGAGCAGTCAGCCCTCATGTCTGAGGTAACTCATTAAAACGGCTGATCTCGAATTATTGTTTAAGCTTTTTTTTCTCGTCTCTTCTTGCGCACTACCAGAACCGTTTATCGATGTACGCGCCCGAGAGAAGTATTAAAAATTTTATCGTATAGATAATATATATCGTTCGCGCGCGTTCGGCGGTCAGATTTGATCACGACGACCAGCTGCATTAAAATTTTAATCAACGAGCAACAGCTTCTTTTTTTTTAAATCAAAATCAACGAGCAACATTCTCTCGGCGTTACTCTTTGCCATTGCGTTTTACGCACAAACTCGCGAATCTACGTTATAAACGCGGAGAGAAGGTGAGGCTGCGCCCCCAAAACAGGGAGCCAACCGACTGGGACGCGCTTCCGTGGCAACCCCTTTAATATAATATTTAATCTAGCTTTGAACAGGCTTGCGGTTTCCGCCTCTGAAGCCGAGAAGCTTGCTGCCGAGCCTACCCAAAAGCCGTGCTTCTGTACTCAGACCAGTAGCAGTCTGGTTGAAAATATTCCCAAACTCGACGGAAGCCACCTACTCGATGACAAAAATTATCTAAATTTCATAACGCCATTAAGCGAGAAACCGTTATAAAGTGACATTCTGAAAAACACTTCCTCGCGTACAATTCCGTGTTTTGCACGTCTTACTTTTTACATAACACACGCTACATGTACAGGCTACTGAAATAATACATTTAGGAAATTTCTAACGTTACAATAAGTGCTTACAATCGACTATAAAAAGACTGACACATGCATATACATAGAGTACTGACAACGTTATCGACGAGTTAAATTTAAAGCTAAGCCGTATGATTGAAGACGAGATCACATGCGCGGCCAATTACTTACTCTGACAATTGCCAGGCATCGCGTGTCTGAAAGAAGACAACGGATCCCTTGGCTGGAGCGGATTCGGTAATGGTTGCAACGGGTTTGGCAAAGGTTGCAGCGGATCCACTAGGGGCGAGGCGAAGAATGGACCGCCTCGTTGCGAAGCGAATGCGAAGGCATGAAACTGTTGTTGCTGCCCTAAAAGAGACAGCACTGCGATCAACCGTGCGCCTGTCCACTGGACCTCCGGTACATGTATCAATCGTATACTTAATCTGTGTACGTCATTTTCTTTTTATTGCATTCGCGAAAGCGAACGCTTCGGCATACCGACCAAACGCAGTATTTACACATAGGAATAGAATAGAAATAATCGGATAAACGAACGCGAAAATAATTCGTACGTTATAGTTGGACAATTGGTGCAAGGCGCATCTTTCATTTAGCGAGACGACAAACGGAACGATACGGGTAAACGCCAAGGCCGTCCCTTCGGAAGCCGGGAAACGAACGGGGGATACACGAGAGAGGCATCGATACATTTTATTTCCCTGCGACGGTGTCGCCAACCCAATTAAAGACGTCCCAACAGGCGGACGTCCTATCCGGCTGTCCCTGGCTAGAGGTCGGCGCACACAGGACAGTCGTGTGCCATACCACGCACAGGCACCGTTCCCGTTCTCTTCCCCTAAAGGCAACGATTCAACGTGGAAGGCACCGGAGGCCAGAGAGACCGACACGAAGGGTCGCTGGGCGGAAGGGAGGTGGCGGACTCCCGCCGTCCTGATAATCCAATCGAAGCCCTAATTCTAACTCGGCAACCCGAAATTCCCGCCGGTTTGCTGAATAGGGTACGCTCGATCCGGGGACACAATGGGGGCGCGACGGCGGAATACCGACGGGTACCGAGACTAACGAGATCCTGTTAAACGACCGGCGATTCGAGCACGCCGCAGGACCCGGGCGAAGGAGAAACCCGGCAGAAAATTCTATGGCTCGTGAAGGTTTCTTCGGGCAAGAGCACCTTTTATTTCCTTCTCAGAAGTAAGTCGTCCTCAAGTTTACGTAAATTCCATTTTCAGCATTACCTTTGCGGGATGAGAAATGGCCGCGCGCCACGCGACCGGAACGCGATCGGAAAACGGCAACGTCGAACGAGAATTTGTTTTCAGATAGCCGGCAGTTTCCTACGCTGGCAGCTTGATAGATTTAATAAATTATGCCGCTCGACCCACGCATTTATCACGCCACCCTAACCCTTTGAATTCGCCGTTCTTCGCAGTATTTCATTAGGCGTCGAGCACTCGTGCGACCCTCCGAATAGACATACGTGCGATCGTTCGCTCTTCTAAACCCGACGTTGCTTGCCCGTTTAAATCAAGTAACAAATAATCAGTGGTCAATCTTTCACGTAACCATCCCGATATTACTCTATACGCGTATTCTTTTCGCAGTCGTTCAAGCAGCAACATCCCAAACAACAGTTACCGATCACGCTCATTCCGCTATATGGCAGTGGACGATCTTTGACAGTATTTCCGGATTTATTCCTCCGCGAGACGGGAAATGTTTGGCAATTGGACCAAGTCGTAAGTCCTCGGCAAGTCGCGGCTATCGATTTCATTGGACACCCTCTTTGCACGTCGTGACTGCCAGGGAATTTCTCGAGAGTTAGCAGCTGGCAACGACAGATCCTCATTTCGTCCCGTCGCCAATTCCCGCCTCTCTCCCACCCTGTTCAACCCGCGCTCCGAAATCAGCTCCTCTCGACGTGAGCTGGAGCTGGTGAGCGCGACACCCATTTTCGATCTTTCCCATTGCCGCCGAGAGCCGTTTCGTTCGCCGAAGATGCACCCCGCGAACCTTCGAATCCCGATTTCGAATGGGCGAGTCCTCGCGAGCGGCATCGAAGCCCAGGCTAAACCTCCCTCAATCAATTTCCTTGGCCCCGCAGCCTTTCCGCGGCAACGGCCACCTTCGGCTACCAGACGAGGGTAGAATGTGTAATGAATTGCTTGTTTAATTAATTACAACCCTTTGGAGGCATTCGCTCGGTATTGTCTTAGATAAGGTTCATTCGTTCGTTCTCGCGTTTGATCGTCGAATGCACGAATGCACAATTTATAACATTTCTCTGAATGTACGTATAATATATCCGCTACGTTAAATTGCGATTATTTCCGTTACGAAAAATATCGGGATTACCAATCACAGAGTGTGAAAAGGAAATATTTAGATGTCTTTCTTCCCCTAATTATCACGTACCTACTTGAATAAATTGCACCAAGATAAACCTGTCGTGTACCAGAATACAATAATTGCAAGTCCTTGTAACTTATTCAAAGACGAGACGAGACACGTGGCTCGTGCCTCGAAAGAAGAGGACCACCCAGAACGCCGAAACTCTTTCATGTCACGCCGCCACCCTTGAAATTGTCCCTGATTCAGTAAACGGTTTGTTTTCATAGAAGATTCAAAGCGCCGACGAATGTCTATTTCCGACTTCCTTACGCTCTTAACGATCTCTAAAAATCTGCTATACGCTTTTAAAACCGTGACGTTTCGCAAAACATATATTCTCAGACCGGAGTAACTTTAATTATTTTGAGTTAAAATTAATTATCGACGTGTTAAAAAAATGCAATCTCCATGGTGATCCGTAATTCGTATCTCGCAATAAAATATCCTCATTTTTAATTCTGAACGAAATAACGAACAGTTAGCATTAATATCGCAAGAGAAATTACTTCTCTGAAACGTTACGTAGTGTTTTGCTTGGATGCGCGTCTCCGAGCGGTACACCGAAATTTCGCGTTTTCATATTTTGGATTTATGACGGAAGTTTCGTGGGTGGTCCGCAGATGCGGCCAAGCCGGCGGATGTGGTCGCAATTTCCCAAGGTACCAAACTTATGCCGCGCTACCCAGAGCGACCGCCTCGATATATTAAAGCTATCGGATATTTTTGGTACGTCTTCAGGGACGACATTACGCGTATTAGCGCTCTGATATTCGAGGTAACAAAGAAATGGGATTGTATCGCGAACAAAGATCTCGTAAGAAAACACGACGTTGCAATCGATTCGTGTCTATTAGACGTGTCTATTAGGTTGAAATAGTCAGACTAACAACAGGATGTGTTTTTAAAGAAAAGATCATTGTCCCTGGTACAACTCAACAAATTGACACGCTAGGAAACACACAGGGTACAATGCATTATACACGGTGGGTTACACGGTAGGTAACAAACGGAGAATGAGAAACGCCGTGTCCCTTTCTCCTCGCCCCTGAGGAGGGGAAGCCCCGTAGCCGGGCTCGATAGCGACCTACCGAAATAACGGGGGAAATTCCTGGTAATTGTATGTCTCGGCACTAGCTCTCGCGAAGGAGTTCTCTCGCGACAGGATATCTCTCCTCCGGCAAGTTTGTAGGCGTCGCACTGCGTTTTCGCCGAAGCACCGCGATACACACCTCCGCGGGCGTTGCCCGCAGCTCTTTGTCAATGTTATGGCGGGACACGGTGCCCCGCGGTTATAAATAATGACAATTGCGCGAAACTTAGCCTTGGAGGGGTAACGGCCGACCAGCGCGAAGCCGCACGCTGGGGCCATTTCGAAGTTGCGGCTTTTACTGCCCCCGGTGCCACGCCGCTCGTTCGTTAGGCATTACGATCGTGTCGCGAGAGTCCCGGTAAAGCCCCCGCTTTCGCGCGTATTTCACACGCTCGCCGAATCCCGAATTGTAAAACGCGCGGTCGGGATTACCGTCGAGCGTCTTGATAATCATCGCGGGAGATACGCGATTATGGGCGAGAGGCTGTCGACAAGGGGGTCCCGCTTGTACGACACGCTCGATAAGACGCTACCCCTATTGACTATTAGCGAGAATAAAATGTAATAAATATATATATATGTATAAGAACAGCAATGCTTACAGTGATACTCACTGGTCTTGGATCGCGGCTCGCGCGGCCCGTCTACCGTCACCTTAATCGCCTTGGAGTAAGTGGCGACTTGGGGCGGCGTCGTCGACACCGTTATCGTTAAGGTGAAACTTTTGCCTGAAACAGAGAATACAGCGTTACGAGATTGATCCGCGACGTTAGAAACGAAATAAATGTGTATTCGCGGTAGCTACTCGAAGCACGCGAGTACGGAAATGCTGGAAAATTGGCTTCGAAAAATGAGGCGGACGTCGGTTTCCGTCCCGCGACGATTCGTGGACGCGCCTATTCAGCCGACGTCGAAAGTTCGCAAACGCGGTTAGCCGGGCGAAACTCCGTGGTAACCGAATTATACGTCGGTAATGTATCGAGGGCGTCGTCGACGGTGACAGTGGCCAGCCAGCGCGGCCGAGTTAAGGGAACAGAGGGTGGTCGTTCGAGGGAGGAAGTCGCGTGATGCTAAAAAGCCTCGGTTGAGCGTGAAATAATGTCGTGGAAAAAGCGGGGCGGGCCGTCGCGGCGCGGAGGGCGGCGCGGCGCGGCGGGTGAAAACGCGCGTGCAACGGTACACCGCAATTTCATCCCGCGAGCATTAAGCGCCAAAACTCCGCCGCGAAAGCCTGCTCGCGCGATCGCTATCGATTCAACATGCAAAAACACGCTATAAAGCGCACGAAAATTACGAGGAGCGTCCCGATGCGAAAAGTCACCGCGGTAAAAATTGCACGCGCAAGAGGCTCACCGCAATTTTAACCCTCCCTCTCTTTCGTCGCCGTGCACACCCAGCCAAACGCACTCTCCCTCGTCGTGTAAATTTCGTTGGCGATGCAAGGGACGGGTATTTACAACGCGCGAGCGGAACTGCTGCTTTACACTATTATACTTTACACGACAGAGGGATGTAACAATCAATCTTACTAACCCACATACCGCGCATGCCCCCCTCGTGCGATAGATGTATCCTTCAAAACATATTTTCTTGAAATTAGATACGATAATGCTGCAAAGGTAGCGTGCTTTTATCCACTACCGGTTTACGAAATGAAGAATAACACATTATGTTATTTATATTTGGCCCGATGAGTTAAACGAGTCCTTCTCACTAATGCGTTACAACGGTCGCGTTACCCTTTCAAGCTGCCATTACCGTATTTTTCTATCAGATCCATTAGATAGGTTTCCGTACGTCGCGAATGCGATAATCGATCGGGTCAGAGTTCACCGTCGACTTGAACCCACCGGCAGCGTCGATAGAGACGGCACAGTCCGCCGTACTGCGACGTAAGATGATCGATGGCGGGAAAAAAGCGAATGGAGGTGGAAGGCAGGGCATCGGGGAAATAATGGCGAGTGTCGAGCGTGGCCACACGGTGGTTCGCCACGCGAGCTTTTCGTTTTCTAGCGGGGATTCCCCTCGGTTTTGGCTGCGAGTCACGCCATTCTCGCCGTGCCCTCACCCTGCTGCCAACCAACCTTTTCACTTGCGCTGCCACGGAGTCGATGGTCCCAGTTAGGTAGGTACGCGTAGGTACACGGGTATCACCCTCGGTGCCAGTCGCCGTGTAGCCATTAAAGGTCGTGCACGGCCTACCGAGCTTCAACGCGCCCCGCCATCCTTATCTTTTAAACGCTCGACTTGTTCGCCTACCCATTCTTTGACCCTGCTACAATTTTTCGACCCCGCGACTTGTGTTATTTCGCGCGACGACAGCGTGGAATCGATCGAAATAGATCTCGTCTCGAGCCGTTGTTTATAGGCGGCAAGCGATGAAATAATACCATTGCTAAGAGTTTTTCTGGCATCGCACGTAAGAATCATATTCATCGGGAAATTTCCAACGAACGCGACATAGAGTGGCTCATCCTCGACCATTCGCTGATTATGCTCGTTAGCATATAGTCCTCTCCGCAAGCGTGTGTGCAACTACGCGTGCGTACACATGTCTCGGCATTGTACGCTGTCGGTGTACTGTCGGGCCAATTAATTAATTTCAATTTTCCCGGAACGAAACGCAAATGCGCAATTGCAGTCTGATAACGAATTGATTACGGTCTGAAACTGCCGCCGTCACCGCGAGTGAACGCCGTTTTTCTTTTCCGAGTGAAACGAGTCTCGTGTTGCGGTCGATAAATCAACATTTCGCGAATAAATACGTTCCACCGATTCAATATATCTCTTATTTTTCCGTTCCAAAAGTCAGCAAATCCACATATACCGCGCTTAAACATTGCGCGCATGCTCTTTCAATTATTACGAAACATTTTTTCTAGAGATATTTGCCTGTTTGTTAAAATTAAGCCGCATGAAATTTCTATTACAGGCAGTTAATGCCGTCGGTTATTACTTTCTCTTCTTGTTTGTGTCACATATCGCAAGGTGATTAATCGGTTTAAGGGAAAGTGTGTTGTAGAATTAAAGCAACTTGGTTAGATTGTCGACGTTCCCTTGACGAAGTTTATTCGCGGCAGCAAAGTCGAAGGATATCTTGCCTGCTATGGGTTGTGGAACTATAAGCGCGCAAATGATCTATCTCGTTAAAGGGCTTAGGGCCGAAGGGGTGGAAACAATCCGGTACCTTCAGGGTAGACTTTGCAGTGATGGAGCAGGCATTACGGTCGAACGTGCGGGAAGGGGGTTACGGCTTATCATCGATATTGCAAAGCTCTCGACTATCGTAGCAGTACGCTCAATCTTGTCCGGGCTAAAAGCGGTTTTAAGCGAAGACAAAAGCATAGTGCCGGCGTTGTATTTACAATAATTCCTTAAATTTCTCGCAATTGCGATGTATCCGAGTGCAGTAGCGATATTCTTATTTTCGTACATTACGTAAACGCGTCGCATTGCCGTAACCTCCATCGTTTCGCGTCTACAATTTTTTTCTCTAATATCATAAATGTATTAATTACATGCATGCACGAGGTAAAAATGTAGCTGAAGGGAATTTCTCGAAATTTTCTTCCGCGAATCTCAAAGGGACAAAATCCTCGCAAATTCATACATGGGGATATTTCCAAGCTCGACAAACAAGAGGATCATTAAGAATTCCCGAGAGTTCGGTGCACATCGGTTTTCAGGGAATATTCAAGGCGCCAGGGAACCGTTAGGAATCCTGACGAGAGAGACACTTCTCTTACATTCTTCATCCTAGCTTATGTTAATTCCGTGCTCGGCGAAAACAATTGAGAGCTAATCCCAGACAAATGACTGACGCGTTCCCGTGAACTTGGAAGAGAGTTCCCCGCTTCTCAGCTAGAGAATCTACGAGTTTCCTGATTTTCAGGCGATTAGCCTTCCCTTACCAATACTATCAAACATATGACAATAGGATATTGATAATAATAATTATTATTATTATCGCATTAAAACTGACTGTATGGGTCACAGTGTTCCCTATATTTCTATGTTAATACTAATTTATATTGATATTAAAAAATTTATATATAATAATATAAAATAAATCGCAATTCACGTTAAATTGTTCAATAAGCTAAGCAATTGTGTCGAAATCATTAGAAGTAGGTCGGATGCACATACAGATACTTTAAGTTACGATAAGCAAGGGCTTTAGTGCAAGTTGGAAAGACGCAGTCAGACGAAATACCGACTCTAATAACGTTAATTAAAACTCAACTGAAACCTCAATTAATATCAGCCGCCCCTGTGCGTCGACGTCGGCGGCTTCCTCGAACGATGCTCAGTCCCTCTCGTTTCGCCCTTTCCTCGACGAGGCTAGGCGGCAAAGTGAGAAGGTCGCACGGCGATGCGGACAAATAAAAGCCATTACCCACCCCAAGGTCTTGGCGGCGCGAGAAACCAACCCCCAGAGCTAAGCGGAGACGCAAGACTTTTCCTTGAAGAGCCAAGGAAAAACGAGGGTTGTCTCAAGACGTCCACGACCTACCCTTACTACGCGGTATACGCGAATTCTTTGAAGGGGCTTCCACCGTCGGTGCTTCACCCCTCCGGCACATTTTCTTCCGGTATAAAAGACGAAGGGTGACACGCTTCAAGCAAAGACCAAGAAACTTTAGGGTTTTATGAATGGATAGGAAAGTAGGACGAGAAAATGTCACCCGACATTTGTATTCTCGTCGCTCGTTACGATATTTCGTTACGATATTATTCGTTCGAACGCTACAGATGCCAGTGGCGAATTTTTCACCGAAGAAAATAACGAAAGACATACGACTCACCTCTTCCGCTTCTGCCGACGAACCTTAAGTCGTTGAACTTGGCAACTTGATTCTTCATCAAAGCTGTCGAATTTCTAAGCTCGGCGCAACAGTTCTCATCATTGCCAGCGCGAACAGTCACCAAGGTACCGTCGCCTACTTCGCCGAGGGCCACAACTTTGAAAGCCACCGGAAGGGTTTTATTAGACCTCCAGTGTGCGGGCAGAACGGTACAGACCAAATGCGGCGAGCCTATAACCAAAATATTTATATCATCTCATTAGCTGCAAGTGGTCTAACATTATTTATGCCAAATGTACATCTACATTGTTCTATCTGTAAGTCACAAAGGTCTCTCGTTTTACAATCCCTTTAGTCCTTGATAATCTCTCTTTACGGAAGCATTATCGTCATTCAATTACCTGTTCTAACTAGTTCACCGGGATGTTCGCTAACGAAGTCACCCAAGGTTCTCTCAGCGAGGATATCGCTGGTCATCTTGGTGTAGGCGTCGGTCAACGGAGAGACGCCCGACTCCGGCGAGGCGGCTGCGCCAGGAGCCGAGGCTCCTGTCAACTGCATCCTGCCGCTCGCGCTACTGCCGCTCTCACTGGTACCGCTCGAAGTGCCGCCGCCGCCGCCGCCACCACCCGCGGATTCGTTGCTGGACGTCCTTACTGAGCCAGCACCGTTTCCGGCTACCGTGCTTCCGCTGCTGCCGCCGTTGCAACGGCCGAATATATCCATAGGCAGTCAGAACACCGGATGAAACATCCTTCCATTCGGTTCAACCGCTGAACCAGAATCTCGCGAGCATTCTTCAAGAACGCATGACCTTTCGAACCAGGCTCAACGGCCTGACATTTCTCGCGATAGTCGCGTCTCTTTTCCAAAGTTCTGAAGCGTAGCTTACTTTCGAGGCGTCATTAATCTTAGCAAGTCTTCGTTATAACGTTGGCGATAAGATAAATGCTCGATTCATAATTCTCTTTTAGTTGTTTCATATAAGTATGCATATTGTTGTATAAATCTGGCAGCGAATTGTTCACACTTTTAATCTTTCGTGATAGGCGTATGACGATTATTATTTCCGTTGAGCATAACGTCAACTTTCGTGGAAGTTAAACTTTTCCATGGGATGAACCAAGGCAATCTTATTCTTCGAAAGTTTTATCTTCTAATGCACAGCTATTGCAAATATCTGAAATAAAACACAAAACAACCTACATGTAACGTTTCTGCCACAATTTATCGCAGATTTTTTTCGTAAACTTATAACACATGATTAGAGAGAGAGTTCTACATCTATTCATTTCTAATGCATTGATCTAGCAATCTAATGTTTTGGATAGATGGAGAAATTGAAGTATCAAAAAATTGAAACAAGTTCTTGCCGCGCGATAGCGTTCTCGCGGCCGTCGGTGATCAGCGACGCTTTAGCTAGCCTTAATCCATTTAACGAAATCTTTTACACGCTGTTATCTTAAAACTGCAATGCCTTGATCAAATTGTCTCTGACCGTCGTGACGACTCGGGGGAGAAAAGAGAAAAGCAGACGGAGTGATCGAACAGCAGGTAACGCGCGAAGAGAAACGAAAGGGGATGAAAACGGTTGACACGAACAGGAACGACTCGCACACTTTTCACGCGGCTGGCTCGTGACGTCACCGTTCATTCAGTAATTTTTGCGCACGTCACCGGGGCTGACACGCCAGATCCAGGTGGTTCCAGGAGGGGCAGACTGGCATGGTGGTGGGGACGGAAAAAATAGGGGAAAAAGAACGCCCGCCGGTAGGCACCCCCCACACGAATGCCCAACCCCTACGCACGTACGACCGCGTGTCAAACTGCACGTGGCTACGTTTACCACGTTGCTTCCTGCCAATGACGGTCTCGTAATTTCACAAAATTACGAATCAGTTCACATATTAAATTCATAAGATGAAAATAACTATAATCAAAGCAATTACGAGAACACAGTCTATTATATGGCGAACATGCAGATCAGTAATCGAGATCGGTCATTATACTCGGTTGCACATGAGGAGCTTCGTAAAACAACGTTCGAAATTATTTTACTACATTAATTCTATGTCACATACGAATGACAATTAATTACTTCAACTCGCGAGAGTATATAGATGGATATTCATATTGTTACATGTTATGCAAGGTATGATGAAAACAGTAGCTGCGACGTTTTCAACATTTTTCTAAAGGCAAGACCGCAAGTTGACGGAGCATGTAACAAAATTTTATGCAAAATGTTTCTAAGGCTAAGAACAGTAATAACAACGACTGCGTTCGTTTTCTTACAATTCTTTCGTAAGAACGTTCAACGACGTTGCGAAGACTAAGATTCTCGCTTAACTTCGCATTCAAATCTCTTACGGAACTCGTTCTGTTTACCGTCTTCCGGAGAAATTCTAGTACCGATCACGTAATATTAATCACTTTTGAAAATCCTTTACGGAGAATAGAAGAAAGAAAATTGCACTGCGATCTCTTCGAGCATTTCAGGGAGAATAACTCAAAGAGTTTGACAAATAGAATATTACGACAACACAAATTTGTCTTTTAAACAATCCGACGCGAAATGTATTAGTTATAACTGACGAACCGATACACATTAAAGCGTTTTTTCAAAGCGCCCGACACAATCGAAATATATGATTGATGCTGAAAGGTACCCTCTCAAAGACACTTTTGGATGAATCGCGTCAATAACGAAAAATAACTCCTTTCGAAAGTTTCACTTACTCGCGTCTCAAACTCTCAATTCTCCGCTTAACCGAGTGACTGTAGATACCAATGAAATACATGACATCACATTCGTCATTATTCGACACTGAAACTCTCGCGTGATCGCGCACTTTGATGTACGAATATAATTGTATCGAAGTGAGAACAAATAATCGGCAATTTCTTGAAACACTTCACTGAAAAAACCATCTATGAGCAACCAGTAGAATAATCTAGTCTGTCGAAACGCGTCCCGTGGAAATCGTTCGGCCGTGCTCGAAGGATGGTCTACGACGGTCCCCCCTTAGGTGATCCCAAAGGGAGCCCTTTGGCGGTTCGTTAGCGGCACCCTCGAATCATCTTCGTCTCCCGCGTGTAGTACGAAAGTGGCAGTTCCGCCTCGGTATAGCGTTCTCGGTAGTCGAGAGTATATTCGAAGTATCCGTTGGGGGTCACTAACTATAATTTCGGCGGTTCGTGTGAGGCAACAGCCGTTGACGCACTGGTCCATGCCAACACACGCAGCATCCCTTTCCCCTTACCAGGTTCCTCTCTCACATCCCTCTGCCACCCCACTCCTTCCAACCTTCCTTCCCTATTTGGCTCTCTCTCTCTCTCTCTCTCGCTCTCTCCCTCCCTCCCTCGCTCTCTTCCTCGCCCTCTCTCTTTCCGTCCCTCATTCCGCCTGGCGTAACCTCTTTCTCTCGCGCGCACGCCGCTCTTTATCGCTTTATCTCCCACCGGACCCGACCTCTCCCTCTCGCGACGGCGGCTCTCTTTCTCTCGACACTCTCGCTCTCTCGCATAGCTCTCTTTCCCCTCGACCCTTTTGCGGTATGGCTCGCGTGCTGGACATCGGTGGGGAGCCGGGTGCCTTCGATCGATCTATCGAACCCTGATTTGATCGGTTTTCTCCGTTACGGCTTGTATGCGCGCGCGTACATTTTTCTCTTCTTTCGCGTGCGTAACTCGCGATCTGCGTTGTAACACCTCGATACTTCCAATTAGGTTGCTCCCCGAGCAAAAGTTTCCACGGAATTAATCACGTCAAACCCGATGTTTGAATTTGCGTGGGTGCGTGCGAAATTTCCGGCATCCCGACGTGCACGTGAAAATTCGTGAAAATATCATTTGTGTGATTTCAACAATCGGCACACGCTCGTTCCGGATCGATCGCTCCTTTCAATCGAGATCTGCGTTTTTTTCCTCGAAACGCATCGTTGTTTCATATGCAACGGAACACTCGTACAACAGTATCTCGTACAATGAAGCTTCACTTTCGAAAATCAAACAGAGGTCCCAGCGCATCCTCGCAGTTGCACTGTTTGTACGAATGTGCAAACAATGGAACTACCCATTTCCTGCGCGAATATATCCTGACGATATCCAACCGGTCGCGGACCTGCCGGCAGGCAAACACTCGAGAGATTCTACGGATATGTACGGATCCACTTATAGAAAATTCACACAAATTCGAGACTTTTTTTCACATCAGTTTGCTACTTTTATGCATACTTAAATATATCTTAATAGCAATCGATCGGATGATTCATCGGGACTGACGCTACTGTTTTATTTTTATTTATTTTTAAAAAAGGTGCCGAGCAGATGACGCTACTTGAATTTTTCTTCGACGTATTTTCACATTTCTATTTCTACGCCATGCTATTGCAAATGCAAAAACTGCGTTTTTATAATGCAGCTGATTAAACTGCGTATATCGGAGGTGTAAAGTCGATTTCGGGCCGAAACATCTTACCTCGGATGTTTTCTTTCTTTTCGGAGGAAAGAAAGATGAACAACAATTTGCTGATGACGATCAGCCGTAATATTCTTCGGACGGTTCGCTATGTGTTTGACGTTTAACAGTACACCACGGCTCGCGAAACAAAACGAAACGCGCTCACGCTACAGAAGTATGCACCGGGTGTATTCAGTGGCGAACGATCACCGACGAGACGGTGACAAACAGCGATACCGCTGGAAACGTGGAAACTGGACGGCCGCCGTCGTATTGACAAACGACCTAACGCCCATGTGGACCGTTGCGTTCGACGAGATTCGAATTATCTCTGTTGGAGCTTGTCAATGCAAATGCCATACCTACATTCAATTACTGCTCGTCACGCTCCGATCAACTGCCGGGCACGGCAAACCAGGTACTCCGGCTATTCCGCGAGTACCGTTTCTTCGGCCACGCGGCACCCAAATCTGCCCTTCGTTTTACAGCCAAGTCTGAGCTTGCCCCAAGGATCCGGGACGATCGTGGATCTCGACATCGTGCGACGATAATATGACGTAACGACAGTTTTACACAAACGTTTTTCACAGTATTTCATAACTGTTAAAACTTTCCGATTATTTATTCATAACAGAACTATTTTTATCGGTCATCGATCCGATTGCTCCATAATCGATAGCTTACTGATTTAAAGGAGTTGATGAATTATTTCGATTCCTAGATACGTAATCCCGTCACTGTAGGGTACAGCTCGATATGGCGACGCATTGAAGGACGTTAATTAATGAACCGCGCTATCGACATAATTGTTTCCGCGAGTTACTAATGTCTAATGTGTTTACGAAATAAAATATGAATATCTCTATTTGCCTACGCTAAATGGTAGGTCCTGTTTACAATCTCGTAGCCGTATCTACACAATTTAACTGAATGAGAATTTCTTATGGGACACAATAATATAACGTAGTCTGCAGCGAACGTTATAACAACTCTTCTATTCTCGTGAAATTTCCGTTAAGATTACCTGGCAAAAATGAATAAAATCTTCCAAGGCAACGCTCTACACTCACTTAATCTTTTAAATTTAGAAATAAAAAGTACCTTTTCCTCGTAAATCGAATACAATCTTTCGGCACGGTGCCACGAGTCGCAATCGATCGAAAGAACCATCATTCACCGCAGATCCTGACTAGTCAATTCCAGCACGACACTCTTCGTTCCTCGATGACTCTCGAGCTCACAAACGTCCCACCGACACGTGACAGCCCCATCAAAGCTTGATGGGTTTTACAGGAGACCACAATCAATCGATGATAACACTGTTCGTCCACGCCGATCTTCGAACCCAAGCACGAACACGTGGTAGCGAAAACGAGCAATTATTGCGCGGACATTGCGAAGAATTATTGCAGATTCGATCAGACAATCGTAGAAAAGTTACAATTATCGTTCACTTGAGCACCATAAAAATGACAAACGGGTCAGATCAGACGGTGGATCACCAAATAAAATCCAACGCACCACACGTATCGGAGTGACGTTTCGAAGAATCTCACGTACGCCGCGGTGTTTACGATAAAAACGAAATACACCAGCTAAGGATCTAAAACTACTGGTGATCTCGGTGCAAATTGGATAAGCTACGATCACGTGCGGATACCGCGAATCGTCGATAAAATCGCTGCAATAAATAGCAGCGTCACCAGATCGTCCGATCCCAATGCACGCGAGCATGTGTCACGGCGATCGACCAATAACATCCCGTTGTTCAATGACCGCCCACCCAAAAAAAGCTCGTGCCATACCGTACGAGCGATATTGGCGCGTGTGGTCCGGCTTGAAAACCGGTTCGTCGGTACGCTCGATTGGACAACAATACACGAAGAACGGCAGACCGGGGCGCTAGCAGAAGCAGCAACAACAGCAGCAGCACCAGCGATCGTGCCGCGTGAATACTACACCACCCCCTTCCCGGGCCCCTCCGCGTCGTCCCTGCCAACCCCTTTCCCACCTACACGCCGCATCCACCCAGAACGTATTCCGTCTCGGTTCCACGTTCATCTCCTCTCCTCGCCATCCACGAACACCCCACTGGCACTCTCTAACTCGTTCCCCTCCCCATTTCTCCTCTTCGCCCCCTCTCGCGAATGGCCGCCCCTACTACGTGCCGTAGCCACCCCTACGCTGCCGTCGAGGGGGGTCGTACGTGTCGTGAGTAGGGGGCGCCCACGTACAGAACATGTGTAACGCGCAGCCTTGATTACACGCGGGCTTGTAAAAATTATTATTATGGCCGCGCGCAGCGTTCCACGCCGCACTGCACCGAATGACGGGGCACAGCCGGACGGCTGATTTTCCGCGCCCTCATTACCCTTGATTCTCTTTTCGTTCTAGCATCCAAGCGGGTTGATATATCGGATACGCGATAACGCGCGCAACATTTTTTTTACCGTAACTCTGTCGTATGAGTCGATGCGGAAACTTGTTTCAAACAGAATTTATTCCTTCTAGTTTTCCTCCCCGATTCAACATCTTGCAACTAATGACGATCACACGGGACGCATTTCTCGTCATTGTAATGAGAGATAAAAAAATATGCCAATCTTACGGAAAATTATACATGTAAGTGCACAATAAAAATATATTATTTTATTAAATATGCATATTGTTATAATAATCAAGTAATACCTGTGCAACTTTGTGTATAAAGTTAATGCAAAGTCTGGAAGAAATAATTTGCTTATGGGCGAATACGTAATTTACGTGTAAAGCTAAAAACATCCCTATTATTGCGTAATACTCGGCGGATAGCTCGAATCGCGTAATGAAAATGCATCATTGATCGAAAGCTTGGTGAAACAACGTCGTTGAATAAACGCATACACACGACATACCCACATCGATTCCCGGTCATTGGGTGGAAGGAAAAATATCATTACACAGCATTCCGTGTCAGCGAATCAAAGCGGCAGCCTTGGTTTCATTTCTACCTAAATAATCATAGCTTATCGTTGGAGAGATGCAATCATCTCGTATACATGTATAACGTTTCGATATAATAAATAATTATTGTTAATCGTATTAAAATTATTTTTTTTAAAACCTTTTAAAACTAAGAATATATGACGTTAATTCACGATTTACGCGAGGGAACAATTTTAAAGAGCTATAACTGGTAATTTTCTACAATATTGTTTATTAGATCGGCTTGAAACTACCGTGAGTGTAACCTTGGCTTTAGAAAAAAAGTGACGTTCTTCGACATAAACGCTGATCGTGTGTTATGTCCGAACCGTGGATCCGATTTGCGACCGTCGGATACAAGCCGGCTTCCCTGGTTTCTGGTCGAAGTGGGGCTAACCGCAGAATCGGAGGCAAGATGGCAAAAGTAAGTCGAGAGTCAAGGGGCGGTGCTGTGGCCTGACCAGCCCACTGGCGGCATCCGCGTTCTCTTCTCCCTGTAAGAGCTAAGATCGCCGGAGAACTCCCATTCTCCAAGACACCAGGCGGCTTTTAGCTCTGCTATTACATATCGCAACTACAGTTTCATAATCACGCGAGTATAAAACGGAATAGTTGAACAGCATAAATCATAATATTGAATTAAAATCCCTTTCGTTCCTAGAAATGCAGGCTTCCTTAATCTTATTGTTAGCCTGAAAAGAATTTCTAAAAGCAAATTCCAATTTAAAAGTAACTCTCCTCTGTCTCACCCATCGTATTATTCTCAGAGAATTTTGCCGTTCGTAATACTGAGATAAAATG